CTTTAAGAGTAAAACCCAGTGCAGCTGAAGATCCTTAGTTGCTATACAAACAAGGTAAGGTTTTTAATTCGGAACTTTCATAATTTCCTGAAGGAATATAGTTAAAATGCAGTTTTGGCTTATTGTTGTTTTGTTACATCCATGGAGCTTACCTTTAGGATAAAATTACATTCAAAAGCCGTGGTCCAACTACAAGCAATGCCTGTGTTTGTCTCCTAACTGTGCTGAATGGGATGATTAGAGATGGCTCAGGTCACAGCACAAGCACTCTGTTTCCAGGTGTGTTTCCTTCTTTTCTTTCCACCATCATAGGTTCACCCACCTGGACTTCATCACTACTTTTTAAGTTCTTCAATAAAGTGTAAATTGTGGCTCAAACGGTATCTCTCTGCAATGTGGGAGACCCAGGTTTGATCCCTGGGTCAGAAGATCCCATGGAGGGGAAGGCATGGCAACCCACTCCAGTATTCTTGTCTATAAAATTCCAGGGACAGGGAAAACTGGTGGGCTAAAGCCCATGGGATCGCAAAGAGTCAGACACACACACACACACCCCTAGAAAGTACTAAGTCTGCCTGTTTAATTTTTGTAGTGACAATATGTATTAAGATTGAAAAAGCAGAGTGACACTAGACTTGAGGAGGATGAGTGGAGAGCCCATGGCTGGTCTTTTCACTTCACCTTGTCTCCTGTAATGAAGCCCTCGTGGGGAAGGGGGTGTAGCAACACAGTTGCATAGGACACTGAGATGAACAGAGTTGATGTAAACCCCCAAAGACACACAGCTATTAGATTACAACTGGATTTCAATTCCAGTTGAAGTATTTGAATGCTCAGGACAAAAGGTGATACTGGCAAGTAGAGGTGGGTCCTCAAAGGATAATTTTCTAATAATTTCAACTAAAGATTTCCCTGACATTAGTGATATAAAAATGCAGTACATATACAGTTTGACTACAGTACTGAGTGGATACATTCAGTCTAAAATGTAGTGATCAAGACTCTAACAGTATAGCTTTGCTGGATCTCTTGATTGATTTGTTCAGGTATGTCAGGAATAATCAGAAATAATTATTTAAAGAATTTTAAAATGGCCTCAACCGGTGGGAAGAGCAGATGTCAGAAGGCTGGCAAACCTTACATATGCATGTGTGTCATGAGGAAATTTCTTTTTAAGGGAGACAGCAATAATTATTCACTTAGTATGAATTTTTAAATGTGCATTTTAATATTCAGAGTGAAATGTCAGTAGGAAAACACATTTAAGAAGAAGTTTTATTTTTAAAAAGTCTCCTCTAAATAATAAGTTTAAAAGAAGAAATATTTTGCCTGTTAGCCCCCAAGAGAGCTTCAAATGCAATAACTACCAAAGCATATTCATTTTTATAATTCACCTAAAATAAAATAAATTCCCCAGGTTATGTATACAGACTTATTGTTTCATAGTTGTTGATGATTTCCATGTTTTTTCCATTAAGGCATTTAGAAAGAAAATTAAAATATAATTGGTACAAACTGTTAAGTTCTAAAAATCTAAGGGAAAACTTTTCCTCATTATAATAATTCTTTGTCAAAAACATATTGTTTAGGGGGTAGGGAAAAGAAGGATTGGGAGTTTGTGATTAGCAGATACAAATTATACACAAGATGGATAAACTGCAAGGTCCTACTGTATAGCACATGGAACAATATTGAATGTCCTGTAATAAATCATAATGGAAAAGAACATGAAAAAGAATATACATTTATGTAACTGAGTCACTGTGTGAAGAAATCAACACATTTTAAGTCAACTGTACCACAATAAATTTTTTAAAAAACAGATCACAGTTATTGCTCTGTTACTGTTAAATATATTAGGTACTGGATACTACTGAATTTTTTGAAGGCTCTGGTGTTTTATTTTAAATTGGATCAAAATGAAAGATGCCAACATACAGATTAACTGAGGTTACTTATTTATTTTTTTTTTTCTTTTTTGAGGTTGCTTGTTTTAAATAAAGCTGGAGGTTCAGATCCACGCTGACCTCCATTCAGGTCCCTGTGACGGGACACAGTGCTGCTGTGTCCCGTCTCCCTCCCTCCCACCCCCGACCTCCATCCTTGCCTCTCACTGCCCCCCTTCTGCACATTATTACCACTGCTGCTGCCCTAGGAGATCAGATGCAGTGTGCAATTATTTTCTCAGTTATGCTTAAGAATGAGAGTGAGACAGAACTCATAGAATTCACCATTTTAATGCATACATATAAGTCAAGGGTTTTTCTTTTTTCTATTAAAAACTGGGGGGGGGGGGGGGGGTTGATGCAGCAGTGATCACCACAGTCTATGTTAGAGCACTGCTGTTGCCCCTAAAATTGAATGGGGCCCCTCAGCAGTCACTCCTCCTCACCCCAGCCTCCAGCTTTAGGCAACCACCACTCTACTCTCTCTATAAATTTGGCTGCTCTGGATAATGCATATAAATACAATAATTCAATATGTGTCTTTTGGTGAATGGCTTCTTGTATTTAGCATGTTTTCAAGATAATATCCCATTGTATGAATGCACCACACTTTGTTGGTCTCTTCACTAGTTGGACATTTGGGTTGTTTCCACATTTGGACAGTGGGAATAATGCTAGTATAAACACTCATGTACAGATTTATGTGTGAACATGCCTTTTTTAGTTCTGTTGCCCATATGTTGGAGTAGAATTGCTGAACCTTGTGGTAACCCCATGTTTCAACTACCCGATGAACAACTGCCAGGCTGTTTTCTGCAGCCGCCTTACCATCTTTACTTCCCCACCAACATAGGACAAGTGTCCTAATTCCTGCACATCTTTGCCTCTACTTGTTTCTTGTCATTATGGTCTGACCCATCCTAGAGGTTCTGAAGTGGTTTTGATTTGTGTTTCCCTAATGATTAATGATATTGAGCATCTTTTCATTTGCTTGTGGGTCATTTTTATGTCTTTGGAGAAATGTGTATTCAAATTGGTTGCCAGTGTTTTAGTTATTTTATCTGCCTACATACTATTTAGCCATAAGGGTTTACATATTCTGGATACAAGACCCTGAATAGACACATGACTTTCACTTTCTCCCATTCTGATTGGGGGGGGGGGGGCAAGTGGAGGAGCGGCTTCAATTTTCTTAGTATTTATTCATTTTTATTTATTTGTTTGGCTGTGCTGGGTCTTGGTTGTGCCATGTGGCATGTGGGATCTAGTTCTCTGACCAGGAATCAAACCCGGGCCCCCACTGGAGCACGGAGTCTTAGCCACTGGACCACCAGGGAAGTCCTGGGAGCTTCGATTTTAACGGAAAAAACAATTTATTTTTGTTTCTTAGACAAGTTTTGCATTAGAGTTGCCTTTCAAACTAACTTGAGTTAGTATCCACTTAAAGATACCACTTTTTTTTTTTCAGTTTATCTACTGACTACAGACAATTAAGACGCTGTTTATTTTTAGCCACAAAAATATAGTGTAGCCATGACTCTGAAATGAACGACTGTTGCTGAAACATCACTTACACATGGACTTTTCTCATTCGTTGTATGGGAAATTTGCTTGTGATTAAAATTATTTTGTGAGGCAAATTGTTTCTTCTGACAATAAGCTCATCATCATGAAAAAAAGATTACTTGTTAAAGCAAGCTGTTGTTTTGTTAGATTAAAAAGAAACGGGGCTGTGCAAAGAAAACTCTCAATAGCAAAGTGATGGTTCCAGTCAGGCTGACTGGATCAGTAAGCTGCAACATCCACAGAGTATAGTGCACAGCTCATTGGGGTATCCTTAAGACAGAATTACTAGAGTGTGTGTCTTGGAGAAAGGAGGGCAGATAACCACAGGATTTGGCTTAGAGCAAGAGAAAAAATCACCATCATTAATGCTGGCCTACTTTCATTATCTCAAAATAATATACCCCCATTGAAAGCACCATCTCAGCCATGGCTGACATTGTAATTTAAAGATCTTCTATGTAAAAGTTCTAAGGTTGGAAAGGTGAGTTTAGAATATTTAATGATTAATTATCCTTTTCGGTCAAGTTTTTTGTTTTTCAAGTGTGATATTAGGTTGGTATATATTTCCTTCAGAATCCCTCAGGATATTGATAAAGGTTTTATGAAACGAGTACATCAGTGACAACCATCACCAAGTATTACACTCGTGTTCCTCTGAAAGGCTGCTCAGCATCAAATTGTACACAGCAGTACTCCTCTGTGTACAATTAATACGTTAGCAGCATTATGAAAGTAAAGTAGGAAGCAGCTCATACTATTCAGGAAAAATGTGGTGTTTGTCTCATTACTAATGTTCAGTTCAGTTGCTCAGCCATGTCCGACTCTTTGTGACCCCATGGACTGCAGCACACCAGGCCTCCCTGTCCATCATCAACTCCCAGAGCCTACTCAAACTCATGTCCATTGAGTTGATGATGCCATCCAACCATCTCATCTTCTCTTGTCCCCTTCTCCTCCTGACTTCAATCTTTCCCAGCATCAGGGTCTTTTCCAGTGAGTCAGTTCTTCACATCAGGTGGCCAAAGTACTGAGTTTCAGCTTCAGCATCAGTCCTCCCAATGAATATTCAGGACTGATTTTTTTTCAGGATGGACTGGTTTGATCTCCTTGCAGTCCAAGGGACTCTCAAGAGTCTTTTCCAACACCACAGTTCAAAAGCATCACTTTTCAGCACTCAGCTTTCTTTATATTACAACTCTCACATCCATACATGGCTACTAGAAAAACCATAGCTTTGACTAGACAGATTTTTCTTGGCAAAGTAATGTCTCTGCTTTTTAATATGCAGACTAGGTTGGTCATAGCTTTTCTTCCAAGAAGCAAACGTCTTTTAATTTCATGGCTGCAGTCACCATCTGCAGTGATTTTGCAGCTCCCAAAAATTCTGTCACTGTTTCCATTGTTTCCCCATCTATTTGCCATGAAGTAATGGGACTGTTGTAGCCACGTGTTCCGGGAAACAAACTCACTCAAAAGGACAATGCAGTTGGTGGAGTGCAGTTTATTACACTGGCGGGCCCAAGGCAGAGTCTCCTCTTAGCCAAGGACCCCGACCAGTTTTTGTGAAAACCTTATATACCCTAGGTGTATGTGCTAAAACCTACCTCCCCAAACTCTCTGAAACTAGTCTGAACTAAGGAAAAGAAAGATACAATCAAAGTTAACACATGATGTGTACGCCTTAAACCCATGATTTGTATGCCTTAAGCCTAGGTAGTTAACGGTGGACAATTATCAATAGGCTTGCGGTCATACCCCAGTAAGCATAATAGAATTTATGATTCTATTTGGTTACACAGATAATTAGGGTATTTTTTTAGGCCACGGAGAGTCTAGGTACGAGCTCTGGGGCTCTTCCATCCAGGGGGACTGGTTTTCCAGTTTGTGTGTCGTTTCCATAGATACAGGGCACATAGGTCAAAGTCCACAGTCTGGCCCAAGATGGAGTCCCACTTTCAAGATGGAACGTGTTCTGTCTGTTTCCTCCCCCATCCCCCTCTCTTGATGCTCTTAACTCATAGTATGAGCATCACTCATAGGGATATATTGCACCCTGGTTCTCTGACCACCAATTTGAGAGAATGACACCAACCTTTGGGTTACAAAGTTCATAATACATTGTAAAATGAAGGGTCCAAAAAGCAGAACTATCAAGGCAACTATAACAATGGTAAATATAGTTTTCCACCAATCACCCTTCACCCGAGATAGAAGCAAAGTCCAGAAATGAATGTTTTCATCTGACATTGCTTTTACCCGGTTTTTCATGTCATCTAAAGCAGCCGATACACTGCCAGATAAATCAGGAATATATACACAACATTCAACCTTAATTATAGCACAGGTCCTTCCCTGAGCGGCTGTGAGCATGTCCAAAGCCATTTTTGAATTACCACTTTTCTCATTTGGATTTGTTCTTCATTTAAGGCTTGGATGGCTTTAGCACTATCTCGGAGGGCCTGTTTTGTGAAATTAGTCAAGGCCTCTACTTTAATCATATCTGTTGTCCCTATGGAAGGCACAAATAAGGCAGCAATATACTCACACCACTGAAATACACACCTTGTCCACCTAGCATGTAAATAAGGTAGATTTACCAGGGCTTGCTGTAGGTTAGGCTTTATGCTGCCATGGGCAAAAGCGAATCCCACTGTGCAGTGACCTACCCAGCCAACTGGTAACCAAGGCCAAAGGTTAGGCTCCCAAAGCCATTGGGTTCCATTGGGTGCCACCCAGTGGATTCCAGGGTTATATTTCCAATCAGAGCCTGGCCAGTGGATGGACTGGTTGGGGTGGTATGTGACCTCAAATATTCGTTTACATTGTTTGGGGCATAGGTACCCCATATATTTTAGCTCTTTCAGGTCTAAGGGACAGTCACCAAACCCTATCCTTTGTTCTTTTTGTTCCCAGCATATAGCGGCAGGAGTAATTAATTGACCCTTTTCTGGGGTCATCCAGAAATATTCATCCCAAACTTGGAAGAATTGTTCAACATACCTAGAGGCCTGTCCTCCCTTGCTGGTCAGGGAGGTTTTTTTTTTTTCCTTTCTTTAAATATAAGGTATAGGCTTTTGTTACTTTTATGAAACTGGTGTTTACATCAAATTAACCCCATGACCTGAGTCTATTGACTGTAGGTCTGGCTTACACCAAGAGAGCAGGGAGAGATTATGATAGACAAGAGAAAGGAAAGTCTCTTTCTGTCGTCCCAGAAAAGAGCAGAGTGGTTTAAAATCTCCTTGGCAGAGTGGTGACACCCACCAAGGAAGTCCATCCATCACAGACAGAGGCATAGCCCCACATACCCAGCAGTTGTAGGTGTTGTGGAAGTCCATGTAGGAATGTGTTCATGAGATGAAAACATTGTCCTGAGTTGAAATGGAAGTTAAATTCAAAATCATGTTGATGAGACCAAGCGGCAGGAGTTAATTATGTGGCTTCATCCTGAAGGGGCTCATCTGGGATCTTCTCTTCTTTCTTCTTCTTAAGGATGATCTTAGTCTCTCGAGGGTCAGTGGGGTCCCTCTATGTAGTCCACTCAGAGTTTTCTGGGTCTGTGTGGTATGCTCTCTTCACCCTCGTATGATGGATCCAAGGGGCAATACCTGCAACTTTAACTGCAGTAGGGGTAGTTAAAATAACAGTATAAGGGCCCTTCCACCGAGGGGCTAGTGAATCATATTTCCAATCTTTGACCCATTTCTGTCACCAGGCATAAACTTATGAATCTGTTCCCCAAGGGGAATGGCACTCTTTCTTGTACAAACTTAGTTACCTGATTTATTACCTTACCCAGTTCCATCTGCTGTGAAATCCCATCCCCCATTACCTGAGGCAAATTGGTTGACACCTGTTTTATTATGGGAGGGGGTCTCCCCAATACAATTTTGTACGGAGAGTAGCCAGGGGACTGTGGGGCCATCCTGAGTCTGAGTAGAGCCATCGGAAGCAAGTCCACCCATGAGCAGTCAGCCTCTATGATCCATTTGGAGGGTGTCTCTTTGAGTGTCCAGTTGGTCTGTTCCGCCATCCCAGAATTCTGGGGCCTATATGCAGTGTGTAGTTTCCATTTGATGTTTAAAGTTTTGCTTACTTCTTGTACTAAATCAGCTACGAAAGCCAGGCCATTGTCCGATCCAATGCTGGTAGGAAATCCAAATCTGGAAACTATCTCCCTAAGCAGGCACCAGGCTACTTCTGATGCTCTTTCAGTCAGGGCAGGAAAAGCTTCTACCCATCCTGAAAACATACATACCATGACCAGCAGGTAACAGTAGTGTCGGTGAGGTTTCATTTTAGTGAAGTCCACTTCCAGGTGTTCAAAGGGCAGCCTGCCTTTTAAGTAAATACCTGGAGGTTTCTGTCTGTGCCGAGAGGCAACACTGACCTGTGAGCAGGCAGTGCAGTTTTGAGATTCTGTTCTGCATAGGGGAGAGAGGCGGGGAACCAAGAAATATTTTCAAATTAGCTCTTCCAGTTTATCATGGCCTAGGTGGGTCACTTGGTGTGTTTGGCTTACTAGAGTGGGTGCCAGCTCCTCTGGTACCAATAATTTGCCACTTGGCAATTCCCACCATCCCTTTTCAGTCTTGATAGCCCCTTCTGCTTTGGCTAGTTGGTTTTGGGATTCAGTGTATTTTGAAGAGTCCAGCATTAGCTTAGGCAGCTCCGCCAATATGAAAGTTTTAATAGGGGCCTCACTTGTCACCCCCATGCCCTCGGCTGCTTGTTTAGCGGTCTTATCTGCCAGTCTGTTTCCCCAAGCCAGAGGGTATCCTCTTTTTGATGTCCTCGGCAGTGTATGACTGTAACCCTTTCTGGTTCCCATACAACATCTAATAGGGTCAGAATTTCTTCCTTATTTTTGATATCTTTTCCACTAGCTGTCAAAAGGCCTCTCTCCTTATACAGAGCCCCATGTACATGTAGTGTGGCAAAAGCATACCTGGAATCGGTGAAGATGTTTACTGTCTTGCCTTTTGACAGCTGGAGTGCGCGAATCAAGGCCCATAACTCAGCTCATTGAGCAGACCAGTGTTGTGGCAAGGAACCAGCTTCAATGATAGTCTTTTCTGTGCCTATGGTGTAACCCGACAGCCATTGTCCTTGTTTTATCAGGCTAGTGACATCAGTATATAGGACCCAATCAGGGTACAGAATCGGTTGGTCTTGGAGGTCGGGTCTGCTAGCGTAGACCTCTTCTAAGACTTCCCCACAGTCATGAGAAGGTCCACCCTTTCCCACTGGAAGGAGTGTGGCTGGGATTAAAGTCTGGCAAGGCTCAATACGGAGGTTAGGGTTTTCACGTAACAGCCCTGATACTGAATAATCCGGGAGTTTGATGGCCATTTGTGGGGAATCTCCTCATAAGAGTGTGTTGGCCTCATGTGGGACTCTTACAACCAGATCTTGGCCTAAAGTCAATTTAGTAGCTTCTTGTACTAGTAGGGCAACTGCGGCAATTGCTTGCAAGCATCTGGGCCACCCAGTAGCGACATTGTCAAGCCACCTTGAGAGATAGGCTACAGGCCTGTCCCACATTCTCACAGTCTGAGTTAACACTCCCATTGCTATTTTGTCTTTTTCAGTTACATATAGAGTAAATGGCTTGGCAAGGTCTGGCAGCCCTAAAGCGGGGGCTGATATAATTGCCAACCTTAGCTCATCAAAGGCTTTTTGTTGTTTTTCAGTCCAATTTAGTGGTTTCTCCTCAGGCCTTGTCAGGAGTTCATATAAAGGCTGGGCCATTTGGGAATATCCTGGAATCCAGATTCTGCAAAACCCAGCAGCTCCCAAAAATTCCCGGACCTGCCAGTGAGTCTTAGGTGTTGGGATTCTCAGGATCACCTCTTTCCTGGACTGGTCTAATAACCTTGTACCCTTCTTTAAAACAAACCCCAGATACCTTACCTCCTCCTTGCAGATCTGTGCCTTATTCTTCGACACCTGGCAACCTGCTTCCATCAGCAGTTGAAGCAGTGCTTTTGTCCCTTCCCAGCATTTTTCCTTGGTCTCGGCAGCCAGTAGCAGGTCATCCACGTATTGTAGGAGCCAACATCCATATTCTTCCAGCTGGAATGAGTCCAGGTCAGAAGCCAAGGCTTCCCCAAAGGTGTCTGGGGAGTTCTTAAACCCTCATGGGGGAGTCCAGGTGAGCTGTTGTTTGGTGCCCCCGACTGGATCTTCCCATTCCAAGGCAAAGATGGGCTGTGACGCTGAGGCGAGGTGTACGCAGAAGAAGGCATCCTTGAGATCTAGGCGAGTATAAACTTTAGTCCTCAGTGAGAGGAGGCTAAGTAAGGTATAGGGGTTTGGAACAGTGGGGGCTATAAAGTCACAGTGGCCTGGTTGACTAGCCTGAGATCTTGTACAGGCCTATAGCCCTGTCCTCCTTTTTTGACTGGCAGGGTTGGCATATTCCAAGCCGACTGGCACTCTACTAGAGCGCCCACCCACTTGTTTCAATCTATTGATGTGGGGTAGTATGCTGACCCAGGCCTCTATCGGTAGTGGGTACTGGCGCATTCTAACCAGGATGGTGCCTGGCTTGAGTTCTATTATCACTGGAGTTTGATGTTTAGCCAGCCAGCCTAGGGGGGTTGTCTTCCGCCCAGACCTCAGGGAATAATTGAGTTAGTTCTCTCTCAAATTCTTGCGGCCCACCTGGTTTTTCCTTCAAAGGCTCATGCAACCTCCATGCATCTTGGTGGGGTATTGAGAGAGAGAGCGCAATAAATCATAGTGCCCACCCAGTAGGTGGGCCTCTCCTCAGGGTACAAAATCACTTGTGCTCCTAGTTTGGAGAGCAAGTCTCTTCCCAACAGGGGTACTGGGCACTCAGGAATGTAGAGGAATTCATCAATCACTTGGTGTCCCCCCATCTGGCATTTTCTGGGCTGGCAAAATGATTTAATCATCTCTTCTCCTGATACCCCAGTTACAGCAGTAGTCTTTTTGGATAATGGTGCCACAGGTTTTGTTACTACCAACAGTTCTGCTCCTGTATCCACCATAAAGTCAATGTTTTCATCCCCCACTTTTAAGGTTACCACAGGCTCTCGGGGACCTGGTATCTCTCAGCCCTGGCAGCCCTATTTAATTTCCAAGTCAGCAAGTCCCACAACCGCGGGAGCTTTCTCTTCCCTCCTTGTCTTAGGGAATTCATTCTTCCAATGGCCAAAACCTCAGCACCAGGCACACTGGTTTGGCTGTAATGGGGCCCAGGGCCTCCACTGGTACCGGCTGAAGTACTGTCTTGTCCCTGGGGCAGGAGGAGGTTTTTCCGGAGGGCCCGAGATAGACTTTCCCAGAGCAGCAGCTAGCATTGCAAATCTCTGGTCTGTTCTCTTTTGTTCCTCTTTGTATCTCTTTTCATATTTCTTTTCTATGTCCCTGTTCTGGAACACATTGTCTGCTATTTCAATTAACTGGGAGCTGGACATGGACAGCACCCCTTCTGTCTTTTGAAGCTTTCACTTAACATAGGGGTATGCCTGTGAAATGAATGCCGAGTTTACCACAATCTGAGACCCTGCAGCTTCTGGGTCTATAGGTGTATAAAGTCTATAGGCTTCGCAGAGCCTCTCATAAAATTCAGAAGGTGATTCATTCCCCTTCTGAATTACCCCAGCAGGTTTTGATATGTCCATTGGCTTACGGCTCCCCTCTTCAACCCTTGTGTAATGGCTGTCTGATATCTGTCTAGTTGAATCCTCCCTTCTTCTGTGTTACAGTGCTAGGTTTATCAGCGGGGAAGGCTTGCTCTATACCTTTCTGGGTTTGCAACACCTTCTGGAACCATCTCTTGTAACCATTTTTTTGCTTCCGTATTAATCCTGTACCTCGCCTCAGTTCTGAAGAGAGATGTCTATAATTGCATGACATCACCCCATGTTGGTCAATGGGTGTGAAAGATGGTTTCCATCAATCTAGTCATACCTTGTGGCTCTTCTGAGTAAGGGGAGGGGGGGTATGCTTCTGCCAATTTAGTATGTCAATTGATGAGAAAAGCTGGTAGTAATCTACAGGAGCTAGATGGTAATCACCATCCTCCCCTTACACGGGGGGGTTGTTGCACATCTCTAAGAAGCATCGGTAGTGGTGCCTTTCCCTCCAGCTCTCTGGCGGAGCACAGTCTCTGCTTAATTCCAACGTCTCCCTCCCCTCATATGGAAGTACTTATCGGGAGGGGAGGATACAGCTTGGGGCATATGATGTCAGCAGTGGTTGAATCTGGTGGGTTGTAGCCTGTTGCCCCTTCAACTAAGGTCAGAGCTTGCTGGAATGGCAGCTTTACAACCTGTGGGGCTGTTGGGAGGACTGGCGAAGGTGGAGGTTCTGGGATGCCTACCAGCTTCTGGTCAATTCCCTGTGGGGAGGCTATCAGCACCGCAGGAACGCTGGTTGGTGGGACCATCATCCAGTAGGGTGGTGGGGGAAGTTCTTACCTCTCTGGATCCTTTTAGATCTCCTTTTCATCTTTGTTTACTTTTTGAATCATTAATATCTTCCCCTCCCCATTTTGGATATAAAATCAGGCCCATCTGGGGGGTTCCTGGGCTATCCCTAGCCAAGAGTGTATGGGAACTGATCGGGGTGCCCAGATTTTCCTGTAACTATGGCATAGACTGACTGTGTTAAACTTAAGTCCATGGTACCCTTTGGTGGCCAACCAACTCCCACTGCGGGACATTCGGCCTCACAGAGAGTGCAGAACCGGCTGGGCGTCATCTTTGTCCCATAGTCTCTGTCAAATCCCTTTACGAAGTTTTTGACCGTGTTTTCTAGTACAGTTGCCTTAGATCCGCTTCCTCCCATTTTTCCTACCTTCTCGTTGATTTTTTTTTTTTTTTTTGGCTCCAGAAGCACTTGGTATCCCAGGTATTTTTGGTATTTCCACTCGATGAAACACTTGAACTGCCAGTCTGCCTTTTGTCTAATAGGGTCAAGGAGGGCTTTACCTGCTCAGACCCGGGGCGGAGGGTGGGGTGGGGAGTCAGGCGTTGTTTTCTTGCAGCCTTATTCGTTTAAACCAGAACAACACAGCGTCCACAACCTCTTCTCCTCTTTGCTTTAGATGCCTTTCTTATCCTGGTGGGCTTAATTGGGTGAGGATGAAAACACAGATGAATTAGATGCCCCACATCCCAGGCTTCTCCCAGAAAGGCCAATTCATACTCACTGATACACTTTTTTCTTCCCATCTAACTAGAGATTTATTCACCTAAAGAATACCCAAAACATCCTGCCTGACTAACATTTCCCTTATCGCACCACAAACCTCCCTTTTGAAATATGAAGCCTCCCTGATCCCTCTTGTGCTCAGTCTGGTTGTTAGGCCGACTGTCGCCCCTCCTTGCCTGAATACAGGTAACCTACTTCCGTTGAGGTCGTCTCTCCTTTTCTGCCTCGGCCCGAACTATATCTTACACTAGGTAGTTAACAGTGGAAAATTATCAATAGGCCTGTGGCCATACCCCAATAGGCATAATAGAATTTATGATTCTATTTGGTTACACAGATAATTAGGGTATTTTTTTAGGCAACGGAGAGTCTAGGTACGAGCCCTGGGGCTCTTCCATCCGGGGGGGTCTGATTTTCCAGTTTGTATGTTGTTTCCATAGATACAGGGCGTATAGGTCAAAGTCCACAGTCCGGGCCAAGATGGAGTCCTGCTTTCAAGATGGAACCTGTTCTGTCTGTTTCCTCCTTCAGGACTGGATGCCATGATCTTCATTGGTGAGTTTTAGCCTGCTTTTTCACTCTCCTCTTTCACCTTCATCAAGAGGCTCTTTAGTTCTTTGCTTTCTGCCATAAGGGTGGTGTCATCTGCATATCTGAGGTTATTGACATTTCTCCCAGCAATCTTGATTCCAGCTTGTATTTCATCCAGCCCGGCATTTCACATGATGTACTCTGCATATAAGTGAAATAAGCAGGGTGACAATATACAGCCTTGACATATTCCTTTCCCAAGTTTGAACCAGGAGGCAGTGGGTTGATTTATTCAAAGCATTGAAGGAAAAACACATCAACTAAGAATCCTATAGATGGCGAAACAGAGAGTTGTTTAGCACTAGGCCTGCCCTGCATAAAGGACACTGGACAGTAACTCTAAAACAAGTGTATATATGGGGAAAAATAGGAAATGACCACACAAGCCAAAGTCTTAGAAAAGACCTGAGAAGATCTTAAGCTTACATCTCAGGTTGGTCCTCAGCACAGAGGAACAATTAGAAGAACAAAAGCAATATCAGTAAACAACAAACCCTGGGGAGGAGTGGGACCCTTATTTCCTGAGTTACCACACTACTGCACTCAAACGTCCAGTTTTCAACACAAAAATCAGAAGGCAGAGGAGCAACATCATCAAAATGGTGGAACAGGTTACTATCTTCCCTGAAATAAAACTGATTTGGACAAACGCCCACAGACTAGACAGCCTTTGCAGGAGGCCCAGAGTCCAACAATGTGTTCCAGCACACTGTGTGGGAGGCCTGGAGTCCAGCAGTGGATGCCAGCACACTGCTGGACAGAAAATCAGATGCTGGATGCATTGAGGAGGGTAAGAGAAATGGTCTGATTTTTCCCGTTGCCCCCACAGTCCTCAAGGTAACGGAGAAGGGTTAATTTAAAATTTACACTGGATCTGCTTCTGTAACTTTAACCCTTTTTTTGTTATACACAATGTCCAGCCTCAGGGAGATAAGGTGAGCTGCCCAACTGAAGGACTGTAAGGAAGTGAAACTAACACATTCCCCTGCCTAAGGGTTGCCATTCTAGGGGACATTTGCAAAGACTGCATAGTCTTTTTACTTTGTTTCCTCGCCTCCCCCTCATCTCTGATCCATAGAACATCCTGGCAACCAGGCCCAGGCAAAATGGCTATTTTGAGGCACAAACCTGCCACCTTCCCCCGTCAGCTGGCTCCCCAATTAAAATCTCTTCCTTGCCTCAACACCTCGTCTCTTGGAGAGCACCCACCTGATGCCCCCCACCTCCCTGTGCATGTGCTAACAGCTGTGAGAACGCACTCGGACAGTAAGGCAGCCTGAGCAGAAAGCTGCCTGAGTCTGCAGGCCCGGGAGAAACCACCGGCTGGACCATTCAGCATCCCTCTAGAGAAAGCAAAGGGATTCTGTCAGCACTCAGCCAGGCTTTGCAGGGTCCAGAGAGGGTATGTGTGCTTCAGCATTCTGCCACAAGAAGAGGTGTGGAGCAGGCGTCCCCATAGTAAAGATGTGAGAATTCCTAGCAGAGTTCACAGAGGGTGTTTCTTTCCCGAAGTCAGCCAGTAAGGACCAGAAATGGTCACTCCTCTTTAGATGTGAAAACAGCAACACAGGACTTCAAGGAATATGAAAAATTGAGGTCGTTATAAAATATATGTCACTGGGATGTAATGTACAGCATAGAGAATACAGTCAATAAAACTGCAGTAACTTTGTATGATGACAGAAGGCTCCTGGACTTAATGGTGATCAATTCATAATACATGAAAATGTTGGATCACTATGCTGTGCACCCCAAACTAATATAATACTGTATGTTAACTATACTTCAGTAAAAAAATCTTTTTAAAAAAGAAACTTTAAGGAAACATGACCATCAGTGGAACACAATAACTGTGTCTAATAACTGACCCAAAAGGAATGGAAATTGCAATTTACCCAATAAATAATTCAAAATAGCTGTTTTAAGGAAGCTCAATAAACTACACAAAAACATAGAACAACAATTCAACAAAATCAGGAAAATGATACATGAACTAATGAGAAGTTCTGTAGGGAGAAAGAAAACATTGAAAAAAAAATGTGGAGATTCATAGGCTGAAGAATACAATGGATGAAATTAAAAATGCAATAGACAACATCAACAGCAGAATGGGTCAAAGGGAAGAACCTGTGAAGTAGTAGATAGGACCTTGAAATCATTCATTCAAAGAAGAAAGATAAAAGAATGAAGAGTGAAAATTCTGTGAATTATTCTCTAATTTCCTTAGACTAGGAACATCAGATTAAAAATTAGATTCGATTTTAGACTAAAAATCCCTTAGATTAAAAAACATTCTAACAAGTATTAGGGTCTCAGAAGAAGAGAGACAAGAGTCAGAAAACATATTTAAAGAAACAATGGATGAAAATGTCTCAAATCTGGGGAGAAATTTAGATATCCAAGTTTATAAAACTAAAAAGTCACCCAAAAATTTCAATACGAAAAAATCTTGTCCCTTTTTTTTAATAATACTGTCTAAAATAAAAGATAAAGGGAGAATTTTAAAGCAACAAGACAGAAAAAAAGTCTATCTCATACAAGGGTACTCCTAGAAGCTGAGTTCTCAGCAGGAAGCTTTCAGCTGAAGAGAATGGGAGGCTGTAATATGAATAAACACTCTTAAAAAAAGAAAATGCCAACAAGGAACACTTTACCTGGTAAATTTTTCTCTCAGAAATGAGGTAAGGTAAAGACTTTTCCAAAGAAACAAAAGCAGAGGGAGTTCATTAGCACTAAACACTGAAAGGAGTTCTTCAAGTTGCCATGAAAGGGCATTATACTCATATGAAAACAAAGAATACAGGTAGATAAAAAAGATAAAGATAAGCATGGAGCCAAATGCAGCGTATTCTAGTACTGAACATGGTTGTGTGTTAATCATTTAATATAAATGTTAAAGGACAAAGGTAGTAAAAGTAACTATAGCTATAAAATTTGTTAATACATGATATAAAAAGGTAAACAAACTGTGACATAAAAAACATAAAAAGTGAGAGGGGAGGTAGGGGTTAAAAAATAAGTTATCATCAGCATGTAATAGACTGTTATATCTGTAAAATGATTTCTGTAAGCCCGGTGGCTCAGTCCCCAGATTTGGTGGCTCAGTGGTAAAGAACCCGCCTGTCAATGCAGGAGACACATGTTCAAACTCTGATCTGGGAAGATGCCCTGGAGAAGGGAATGGCATTTCTCGGTAAAAACCCACTCAAGTATTCCCACCTAGGAAATCCTATGGACAGAGAAGCCTTGCAGGCTACAGCCCATGGGGTTGCAAAGAAGTCAGATGACCTGGGGATATACTGGGCTACATCTAATGGAAGTTCTTGACTTAAATTCTTACTTATTACCTTACTAATAACTGCTAGCTATATTTTCTATGTCACCTGTTTCTGACATTACCAAATATGTGACTGAGCCTCTGATAAAATGATGATATGCAGTTCCATAAGAGATCAGTGATTCTAATAGTGTAACTTGAGTTATGGGAAAAAGCAACAATAGGGAATATTTTCCTGGACCAAGAGGCTAGGAAGACAGGTGTGATCCAGACATCTGCTATTCACAGGGCCTGGTCCAGTAACAGCACACTGAGTGGCCTATCAATGGAATCTTTGCCAGAACTGGAAATGAGCATTCCCAGCAACACAGGACAAAATGGCCATGAAATGCCCCCAAACCATGGTCAAATTTATGACTCTGAAGGGGCTCTGCCAACTGGAAATTGGCACTTGACATCTGCCTCTACAAAGATTAAATCACAACCACTGCAAGCTGCTGACATTCAACACCCCCTGAAAGGAGTTCAGGTTGGAGATCAGAAATACGGCACTCTGTGCTCTGGGACAAACTGGAAGAACAGGCCTACAGATAATCAAGTGTTTACAGGTAAAGACTTTTATGAGCCCAAATTCTTGTATCTTCTCATACCTAGAGAAACACTAACATCACAGAACAAGGGTCCTGGTTCTCCTGGCTAGCCCCTCAGCAGCTATTCTACTTCTATTAATCTCTGGGCCATGTATCTTTAACCTTCTTGTTGGTTTGTTTCTTCTAGAAGACAACAAATAAATCTTCAAGTGGTAGTAAGACAAGAATATCCCCTAGTAAACATGCAGGCAATGCTGGAACAAGCCACCTTATCATTCCATAGACTCACATCACCCTCTGTAAATGCACCTGAGAGAGACTGGGCATTGGGACCCAGGACTGCACAATCCCTTGTCCAACCTGAAGAAGCCAGAGCAGTCACCACCCCTTTCCCCAAAGATCTGGGTCCCCATGGCCCAAGACAGGGATAGGTAGACAGGTAGTCATGAGCAGGGTGTCAAGCGGCCAAAGATTTGGCAATAAATAAAAAGAGGGGGGAAGGTGGAGCCCTGTACGAAGGGCACAGGACAAAAACCTCTGGAACTGAACAAACAGCAACTGTTGCCATGAGGCTCCGGATCTAAACCTGCAGTTCTCTCACCCCATATTAGGTAAAATACCCACCTTATTACCCACTCTATAGCATCTTAACCAATCAACTAATGCCACACTTCCCATAAGAATTTTCTCTCTCTTGAGGTTATAAAAATTGGCTATTAGCCTGCTCAAGCTTTGGCTCTCCCTTGAGCCAGACCACTGTCCTAACAGTGCCTCCCACTCTCATAAACTTTATTCTCCTCTCATTCTGCCTCATGTCTAGAAATTCTTTTCCAGCCAGTGCATGGACCACAACAACTAATGCAAATGAAAACTACTGGCTGCCCTACCAGTAAACAAAGGATGTTCCAGCCACCAAGTCATCACACTACACAACCCCGATGGTGAGCCCTGAGGGAACTCAGGGTAGAACAGGATGCCCGCTGTCTAACAGCGGCTATAGCCACCACCACTAAGATGGTGTACCTGGAGGAGGCTCAGGATGACAAACACAGTATACCGGCCCTAGATGGCTGAGGTGCATATTAATGGGATGTTTTCAGAGAGCATCATCCCATACACAGAAAAGTGCTAAATTCTTTAACTTCAGACATCTGGTTTTATTAATAGCAATATTTTCATGTTCCAACTAACTAAGTGGTCTTTATTGCAGAAACTTGTATATACCCTGGCTCCCTCCTTGCCTCTTTGGAGTAGTCTCTCAGTTATCTGCAGTCCTCAGCTTTGTCCACCAGATAAGACATAATTCTCAACTTTCAAGTTGTGCATTTTTTTTCAGTTGACACTAAAAAGACCCAATTACTGACAGTGGAAAAATTAAAGAGGGTTAGCAATGGAAATAACTCTGAGCAATTTATTCACCATGAGCAGATAATCTCCACTGGATTAAACCTCCATATCATTCCACCCTATCCTTCAATGTCTGCTGAGAAAAGACAAAGAGAACTTGAGGAGAAAACACACTTCATCAGAGATTTTAGCTTATAGCCCACCCATTTAACAGGTAACACCAGAAAGACAATCTGTGGAATGTTAGATTAATTACTTAAGCTAGGTTTTATCTATTAATAGAAAATACATCAGTATTCTTACCAAATATATAATAGTGTAAAATTGCCAAACACCAAAGAATATTTCAGTGTCTCTATACTAGAGAGACTAAAAAAGCATTGAGACCTCAATCTCAATCTGACAAAATAAATTTAAGGGGAAAGTAATTTAGAAACTTGAAATTTTAAAAAGCATCTCTAGGATTAATTTTCAAAATATATAAGTAGCTCATGCAGCTCAATACTGGAAAAACAAACAACTCAGTCAAAGAGTGGGCAGAAGACCTAAATAGACATTTCTCCAAAGAAGACATAGAGATGACCAATGAACACATAAAAAGATGCTCAACACTGCTCATTATTAGAGAAATGCAAATCAAAATTACAATGAGGCATCACCGCACACCAGTCAGGATGGCCATCATCAAAAAATCCACAAACAATAAGTGCTAGGGCTGGTATGGAATAAAAGGAATCCTCTTGCACTGTTGGTGGCAATGTAAATTGATACAGCCACAATGCAGAACAGCATGGAAATCCCTTTAAAAACAGAATAAAACTACCAGGTGTGTTGTGTTATGTTGCTTCAGTCATGTTCGATTCTGTGACCCTATGGACTGGGGCACCATGCTCCTCTGTCCATGGGATTCTCCGAGGTAAGAATACTGGAGTGGGTTGCTATGCACTCCTCCAGAGGATCTTCCCAACTCAGGGATCAAATCCACGTCTCTTCTGTCTCCTGCATTGGCACTTGGAAAGCTCCATAAACTACCATATGACACAAAATCCTACTACTGGTCACATAACCTAAGAAAACCATAATTTAAAGAGACACATTGTACCCCAGTGTTCATTGCAGCACTATTTACAACAGCTGGGACATGGAAGCAACCTAGATGTCCATCAACAGATGAATGGATAAAGAAGTTCTGGTATTAATACATATATACAATGGAACATTACTCAGCCACAAAAAGGAATGAATTTGAGTCAGTTGTGTGGATGAACCTAGAGTCTGTCATACAAAGTGAAGTAAGACGGAGAAAAACAAGTATATATTAAAGCATATATATGGAATCTAGAAAGACGGTACTGATGAACCTATTTGCAGGGTAGCAATGGAGACGCAGACACAGAGAACAGACTTGTGGACACAGTGGGGTAAGAAGAGAGAGGGATGAATTGAAAGAGTGACACCGAAACATACACATTACCATATGTAAAACAGATAGCCAATAGGGATTAGCAGTAAGACACAGGGACCTCTAACCCGGTGCTGTGACAGCCTAGAGGGGTGGGATGGGATTGGAGGTGAGAGTGTCAGGTAGAAAGTTAGACATGAGCACCTAGAGGAGGCCTGGCTGAAAGGATGCAAGCTGATCTCTAAACTCCATCCCAGATGCACCCAGGAGAGCTCACAAATATGCTATAAAATAACCACAGAAGCTTTACAATTCCTGAACATGCGCCCTAGGCACACAGTGGATACAAAATGACCACAGGAGCTTCTCCAAATAACCTTAGGCAGTTAGACAGTTAGGAGTGCATCAAGGACTCATGAATATTCTACATCTAATTATATAAGATAGAATTATGGGAAGACATAAACAACACAGCCTGCAGTTATACAGCTTGAAATTGTCAATTTGCCTTGAGCATATGCCCATTTGTATTCCCTTTCATTGACTGGTGGGGGGTACAAGCCCTACTGTGCACCAGGCATAACCAAAAGGAGGGGGACTGGAGGAAGCCAAGAGAGCTTGACAGGAAGGATGAGAAGGACTCTTTGAGAGTGTTAGTCTAATAAAAGATATGTATGCTTAAGGTGAACTGAGCTTTCACTTGTCTGTTGTTCTATACATTTTGGTCCATTGCTCCAAATTTTTGTTGTAACGAGATAAGAACTAAGGACGATAAATAAACCAACCTGAGAGGAGGGAGGTCCAAGAAGGAGGGGGCATGTGTATACCTATGGCTGATTCATGTTATGGCAAAAACCAACACAATATTGTAAAGCAACTATCCTCTAATTTAAAATAAAAGAGCATTTCTATTAGTTAGTATCAACCAGAGGAAAAAAACCATACGATACATATAGATAGCTAGAAAGAGATTTTTTTTAGGTGGGACTGGCTCACATGATGGATGCTGAGAAGTCCCAGAGCTGCTCTGCTGTCTGCAAGCTGAAGGCCCAGGAAAGCCAGTGGTGTGGTTCCTCTCCAAATCTGGATGCCGAAGAATGAAGAGAGCCAACAGCATCAGTCCCAGTTCGAAGGCCTGAGAATGAGGAGAACCAAAGCCAATGGTAGGAGACAGAAGTCCAGACTCAGAAAACAAGTTCCATCCTCCACCCCCATTCTCCCCAGTCCCCAACAACCCCTTCCACCACACACCATTTTCCTCTATCTGGACCTTTAGAGTACTATCCTGTTTCCAGTCTCTGGTTTCAAATGCAATCTCTTCTGGAAACACCATGACAGACACATCCAGAAATAGTTTTACCAGCTTTCTGGGCCTCCCTTAGCTTAGTCCCTGTGCAAGACATACAGTGAGGCCAACAATATTAAACCATTAGACTCTGGAACAGGGCAAGGTTTATTATAGGTTCATGCAAGGAGATGGGTGGCTCATGCCCTAAGAACCCCAAAGTTACTGAAAGCTTTCAGCAAAGCCCTCTTTAAGCAAAAGGTGAGGTTGCGGGGGGGGCGGGGGGGGGCATAGTTAGCTGTTGTAGATTTTTGGTGTCAGATCTTTTGTTCTTGAAGTCAGGTCTTGGTCTGGTAATGATGCTCCTATAAATCTCCATCAAACGAATGTTATTCTCTATCCTGACAGGAAAGGGCAAGGGCCCAGGGCATAGCTGTTACCCTCCAAGGTCCTGGTCCTGACAAAGAGGAGGCAGAGCTCAGCTGGTGGCTCCCTCAGGCCCAGGTCCCCACACGCTGCCCAGCTGCCATCACTGAAGGAGTCAGGCACCCAATCCAGCCAGCCGTCACGCTCCTCAGGCCGCCCAAAGGGGGACAGAGCAGGTCTCACAGACTGTGACACAGGCAGACTGCCACTGCTACTGGGTCAAAGAGACCAGGATGGGGGTGAGGTTCACTACTCCTTAAGGCCTGGGCCACTGCTGGGGGTGGCCTTGGGGAGGGCTCTGGAGTCCTGCAGGACACAGTCCCCAGCCTGGTCCCTGGACCCCCAGCTCACCTGCTGGCCCAAGGCCGGGTGAGCGGGAGAGCCTCAGGGAGAAGACTGGAATCTGCCCCTTACCTCACTCTCCACCTCACGACCACCACTCCACTGCTGTCTGATTCCTCTCACTGTCACTCCTTAACAGTTGGTTGGTTGTAGGAGAAGGGCCCACTGTTGTCCTGTCCAATGGCTGAACAGGACCACTGATGGCAGCTCATTAACAGCTGGTTGACAGTGGGTGGGAGCTGACTGAGGCAGGACCAGTGGCTGAGCAGGACCACTCACTGTGGCTCACTGACAGCTGGGTGCTAGTGGGCGGGGCCTGGAGGAAACCACTGCATGGCCCCTCCCCCACAACCACACCACGTCTGGGCCCTCTGGTCAGGGGAGGATGGTGCCCCAAAAGGCAGGTGTGAAGCAAAAGGAAGGAAACTTCTTCCTACCTGATTACCCATAAGCAAGAGAGGTGAGCTCCAGGGGGTCCTCGTGAGGGAGGGATGAGCTGCTTGAGGGGCGAGGCATTGGCAGGGCTGAGCCTCCCACCCTCTCTTTCCACTGAAGCAAATCCAGCCTTGTTGTTCAGTCGCTCAGTAGTATCCAACTCTTTGGGACCCCATGGACTGCAGCATGCCAGGCCTTCCTGTCCTTCACCATCTCCCGGAATCTGCTCAAACTCTTGTCCACTGAGTCGGTGATCCCATACAAGTATCTTGTCCTCTGTTGTCCCCTTCTTCTCCTTTTGCTTTCATTCTTTCCCAGCATCAGGGTCTTTTCAGTGAGTAAGATCTTCACATCAGGTGGCCAGAGTACTGGAGCTTCAGCTTCAGCATCAATTCTTTCAATGAATATTCAGGATTGATTTCCTTTAGGATTGACTGATTTGATCTCCTAGCTGTCCAAGGGACTCTCAAGGGTCTTCTCAAACACCACAGTTCAAAAACATCAATTCTTTGGTGCTCAGACAGACCTTGGTTGGCAATGTGATGTCTTTGCTTTTTAATACGCCATCTAGGTTTGCCATAGCTTCTATATATTTTTTAAAAAAATTCACTCCTTATCCTATTTCCGTTTTATAACTTTATACTATGGGTCAAATCTGAGGCTAAATAAACATACCTCAGGCTACAGCTCTGCAAATACCTCTGGCAGCAAATTAACACAAACAAACATTTGGGTTGGTAGTGAGGTGGTTTTTAGTGATCTTTCTGACCTGCCTGGAGGCTGAGAGAGAGACTTGGTGAACTCACAAAGGCTTTCCTAACTGTATTTTCTGCCACAGTCCTGTAAGGTTCTCAGGTTCATTGAAATACGTGGTTTAACATTTCACCACCAGAGGGACAGTTGGTTTTAAAGTTCATTTCATTTTCACACATGAAAAATGGAGGTCCTGCTGCCAGGGAACCTTCAGCCCGCCTGCCAGCATCACCGGGGAAGGTTTGCAGGAGGCCTGGAGGCAGCGCTCTACTTTCAGGAACCCGATTTCACCTGACTTCTGACCTTAGGTGTTTGAAACCAAAATTGAAAAGTTGTGTAACTTGCACAAACCAAAGTGTACCAATCGACATGCTATAAACCAAGCAGGGAATGTGAACTCAAGTAGGCCTTAGGAAGCATCACATGAACAAAGCTAGTGGAGGTGATGGATTTCCAGCTCAGCTATTTCAAATCCTAAAAGATGAGGCTGTGAAAGTGCTGCATTCAATAGGCCAGCAATTTGGAAAACTCAGCAGTGGCGACAGGTCTGGAAAAGGTCAATCTTCATTCTAATATCATAGAAAGGCAATGCCAAAGAATGTTCAAACTACCACATGATTGCACTCATATCACATGCTAGCAAAGTAATGCTCAAAATTCTCCAAGCTAGGCTTCAACAGTACGTGAACTGAGAACTTCCAGATGTTCAACTTGGATTTAGAAAAGGCAGAGAAACCAGAGATCATTGCCAACATCTACTGGATCATCAAAAAAACAAGACAGTTTCAGAAAAACATCTATTTCTGCTTTAATGACTATGCTATTGACTATACTACATAGCCTTTGACTGTGAGGATCACAACAAACTGGAAAATTCTTAAAGAGATGGGAATACCAGATCACCTTACCTGCCTCCTGAGAAATCTATATGCAGGTCAAGAAGCAACAGTTAGAACTGGACATGGAACAACATATTAGTTTCAAATTGGGAAAAGAGTATGTCAAGGCTGTATACTGTCACCCTGCTTATTTAACTTACATGCAGAGTACATCATGTGAAATGCCAGGCTGGAGGAAACACAAGGTAGAATCAAGATTGCCAGGAAAAGTGTCAATAACCTCAGATATGCAGATGATACCACACTTATGGCAGAAAGTGAAAAAGAACTAAAAAGCCTCTTTATGAAAGAGGAAAGTGAAAAAGCTGGCTTAAAACTCATAACATTCAAAAAACTAAGATCATGGCATCTGGTCCCATCAGTTCATGGCAAATAGGTGGGGAAACAATGGAAACAGTGACAGACTATTTTCTTGGGCTCCAAAATCACTGCAGATGGTGACTGCAGCCATGAAACTAAAAGATGCTTGCTCCTTGGAAGAACAGCTATGACAAGCCTAGACAGCATATTAGAAGGTAGACATTACTTTGCTAACAAAGGTCCATCTAGTCAAAGCCATGGTTTTTCCAGTAGTCATGTATGGATGCAAGAGTTGGACCATAAAGAACGCTGAGCGCCAAAGAATTGATGCTTTTGAACTATGGTGTTGGAGAAGACTCTTGAGAGTCCTGTGGACTGCAAGGAGATCAAACGAGTCAATCCTAAAGGAAATCAGTCCTGAATATTTATTGGAAGGACTGATGCTGAAGCGCCAATACTTCGGCCACCTGATGGGAAGAACTGACTCATTAGAAAAGACCCTGATGCTGGGAAAGACGGAAGGCAGGAGGAGAAGGGGACGGCGACAGAGGGTGAGAAGGTTGGATGGCATCACCGACTCAATGGAAATGAGTTTGAGCAAGCTCTGGGAGTTGATGATGGTCAGGGAAGCCAAGCGTGCTGCAGTCCATAGGGTCACAAAGAGTCAGACGTGACTGAGTGACTGAACTGAACTGACTAAAGCCGGGACTGGGAATGAGTTTTCATCTTCATGGCTTTTGTTTTTACTACACAACAACAATGAACCTAGAATGCTAACATCCTCTTCAATGCACCAGGCAATAAAACAACAGAGTAAAAGAGAATCTGCTCAGCTGTAATGACAGTGCTATCCTCTTAACAACGCAATCTTCACTTATCCTATTTTAAGTGTACACACCTCCTGCTTCTGCCTTGGATTAATTTAGCTTCGGTGTCATTTTTTACTTCTAGAAAGCATTTTCACTGATTACCTTCAACTTCTCTTATTAGTGTATTCTTACAACATACTTGGATTTGCATGTACATTTTTCACTTCATGCTCTCAGATACACATGAAGGAGGCCTGAAGGTCAATTCCCATTCCCCTACATGGAGCTCACACATGCTGTGCTATGCTTAGTCAATCAGTCCTGTCAGATTCTTTGCGACCCCATGGACTGTAGCCCACCAGGTTCCTCTGTCCATGGGGATTCTCCAAGTAAGAATATTGGAGTGGGTTGCCATGCCCTCCTCTGGGGGATCTTCCCAGCCCAGGGATCAAATCCAGGTCTCCTGCATTGCAGGTGGATTCTTTGATGTCTGAGCCACCAGGGAAGCCTCCTGAATGGAAAGTCTTTTTAAATTGTGGTAAGAAACTCTAGTGTATTGCCATCTGAATTGGCAAAGCAAGTCAGTTTTTCTGACTGATTGGCAAAGTTTTTCTGAAAAGTACCAGATTACAGTTAAGATTTTAGGCCATGTGGGTCAGAAGTACTCAGCTCTACTGAGTGAGAAAGCAGTCATTCCAACATGCAGAACCAAGTGTGGCTGGATCCCAAATACTTTATCTCAAGAAACAGGACGGGGGCAGGCTGTAGTTTGCTGACTCCTGCAAATGATGAGTCTCATGTACATACTCTTCTAGTCAATAAAATGCCGAGTCGTTTCTGTTGCATTTTCCTTTGGTGATTTTCCCTGTCCTCATACCATGTTGACAAAGTCTGACCTCACTAAGTGACCCATTTTAAAGTTCATAGGTCCTCTGGAGGAGTACCACTAGATTCCTCACCAGTGTTTCCAAAACCAAGGCCAAAGGAGAGTCATCTCTTGGTATATCATTACATTTGTGTCCTGTGAAGACAGCTTATGGTAAGATATGCTACAACAAGAAGGATGGAGGTCCCTGGCAATTTCTCCAAAGATCACGAGGAAAGTAGACAAAAATAGTTTACCTGTGGACTGATGTGTAGCCAGAGGAGTCTGGGCCTCCTTGGAATAGGGCACTAGCTCCCTGGGCAGGAAATCCACTTGGGTAAACTTTGACATGCCCAGCTTAGGAAATCTCTGCAAGTAACAGAGGACAAACACTTAGAAAAGGAAGGCATTCCTTGTAGAAGATCTATCCGGAATAAAACAAAACATCTTAAAAAAAAAAAAATCTGAAACAAATAAACCCCAAAGATCCATAGCATCTCCATGCAAGTGGCAGCACTGAAAGCAGAACTGGCCCTGGGCTGCAAGTCTGGACACTTGAGGTTCTGGCCACGTTACTGCGTTGTTGCTGGGTGGTGCCAGGTAGGCCTCCTCAAGCTGACCCTCAGGCCTTCCCCACGTCAAATGAGACTCCCTTCCATTCTGAGCAGGTCTGACTTTTCTTGATTAAGATTTACAAAGGAATTTTCATTTTTGATACAGAAGTCTAGTCTCTTAGGCAAGAGGGATGAAAAAAGAGTAACACTTCTCAAATCTGAAGAAAAAAAGAGATGATCGCTGAGTGGAGTAAACATTCTCTATGACAGTAACAAGAGGATTATATTCCAAGGGGAAGTATGTGTGTGTGGTGTGCACGGTTGTTCAGTTGTGTCTGATTCTTTGCAATCCCATGGACTGTAGCCCACCAGGCTCCTCTGTCCATGGGATTTCCCAGGCAAGAATACTAGAGCAGGTTGTCATTTCCTACTCCAGGGCTCTTCCCAACCCAGGGATCAAACCTGCATCCCTTGTGTCTCCTGCATTGGCAGGTGGGTTCTTTACCACTATATCATCTCCTGTTTCTTCAGAAAAGGAACTAATATGAACAGCATGTGAATCTGTATAAAGATAAGTTGGTATAGAACAGAGGAGTGCAGAAAGTACTGGGCTAAGAATGATAAACTTTTAGTTTATAATTCTGAAATTAGTTGTGCCATGTAAAAACTCCTTTCTGAATATTTATAGAACATGTCAAGTGTTTTCTGATGTCTTTCACATCCATGACATAAACTGTCTTCACGACCATTCAATGAAGCTTCTGGGCAGATTATCACCATATCCATTTTGTAGATGAGAAAAGTGAGATTCAGTAGGAGACATGCTCAAGTATATTCAACTCGCGAATGGTAGAACTAGGGCTAAAATTCTGTTGGCCTGAGTCCTGGTCCAGAGCTTTTGCCACCACTCAAACTCCTACCTGAGGCTCTTAATGGTGATTTCTGAGTTACCCCCCAAATTTGAAGTGCCTCCTGTATCACCCAGGAAACATCCACTCATGGAGGCAGTAGATTCTGGCAGTTAAGCACACAGACCAGCCCTCTGACTCACCAGCTCCGTGTGTGACCCTGCTTAAGCTACCTAAGTTCTCTGGGCCTCAGTTTCCTTCTGTAAAATGGACATATTATTACTAATACTCAGTACTAGGATTATTATGGATAATGTATATGTGCCACATACATACAATGCATATGCCATATATATATTATATACACATACATACACAATTTACACACACGCGTGTTTTTAAATAGTTTCTGAAACATTATTTTAGTATATAGATTTAGTATCAACATTGGACATATTTGACTATATTTCCTTAACATTTCCAGGAAATAGACTGTGTGTGTCTCTCCGAGAGAGAAAAAAAGGCTACATAACCGTTTAGCCAAAATCCCACATTCCCTAGCTTTCTAGAATCGATAGAGGCACACCTTGTATTATTATTTTTTAAATTATTACTAGTAATGGCACAGACATTGTATTTTTTCCAGTACATAGTAATAATAAAACAAATGAAAATACATACCACAGCTAGGGATTTTCATGTACACTTTTCCAAGCATTCTAGGAAAACAAAATTTTCTTCTTTTCTATGAATCACTAAAATAACTGAAGTGAAACCTGAGATGAGCACAGGGTAGAAGAAAAACAAAGGCTGGTTTAGAGAACAAGCCACCGGGTTGTCTTTGCAGCCCCACTATGCTCCACACAGGCCTGGGCCACGTGCCCTCACTCACTCAGATGTCTGGACCACAGAGCATACAGGGGGGTCAGGCTGGGGAACCAGAACTCCCTCGCAACCTTCTCAGGCAGCATTAGGTGAAAACACACGAAAGGTACTAGAAACAAAATTACCCAACGAGGCAAAAGGCTCAAGGTTTCAGAGGAAGAAATTCAGTTATTATTTAAAATTCTCCCTGGATCAGAGAAGTAGGCTTTTCTTCCTGAAATGGGTCTTTCTTGAAGCATCTGAAGACACCCCAGGACTGCTCGAGGCAAAGTCTCTCCTGCTATCTAATAGCCCAGAGCATCTTTCTGAGGCCCCAAGAGGCTGATCTTCATCTCAGGCAGAGACAGAAAGGAGGCATGGGCTGGTGATGCTCCCTCATCCCTTCAAATTGGGCTCACACTTGGCATGGAGAGATCACCCTGGAGTTTAGACATCCAAGGGCATCAGTGAGACCTAAAGATCTCCAAAGTCTGGTGAAGAGAAACCTACACCTGCAGCCAGGGATTCCACGCCTCTGGCTCATAACATGCAAGCATAAGCTGTTGGCCTGTCTTGCTGAGTGACCAGCCAGTTTCATCTGGTAATCCACCATGGAAAATTGAAACCAGCGAGTGAAGCAGCACAGCATACTGGTTAAGCCACATGCTCAGAGAAACTAGGCTCAAATCCTTTCATTGTCCCTTACCAGCCACATGGTATGTAAAAGCTTTGGACAAGAGACAAACCCCTCATGTTTCTCATCTGCAAAATGGGTACATATTACTGAATGGTTGTGAAGATTAAATGAAGCTAATATTCATCAAGCACTTAATTCAGTGCCTGGCACATAGTAGGTGGCTCTACTTTTTACCTTTCTCACTGATTATAATAAAGTTTATATTTATTTCAAAAAAACCAAGGGAATGCAGACTTATGAGTGTTCTAAACTGATTCTCTAAAATACCACATTGGAAGATTATCTCTGACAAAACATGACTTACATTCCTCATTCCTTTGTATGGGCCCTTGGGTAGGTTTTGGTTGCCTGGGAGAGATGACCTGGTCTTCCTTTAATTAAAAGTATCGTTACCATGAAACTTCTCAGTTTTCAAAACTTATCTTGAAGTGATTTGAGTACTACACAACTGTTCCCAACCCCAGCTATTCCAGAAAGTGTGGCCAGAAGGTGCGGCCCTTCCATGGCAAAGACCTTCCCCTTAGGTGTGTTCTCCAATTCTGTCCCCACTTCTGGGTCTCTCCTGGGCCAGCCTTGGTGTCTGCATATCTTGGCGGTTCCAAGTGCTATCTGTTCATACAACACTGTAATAGAGACTTTCAACTTCCCTACAATACTTATACAAGGGTCTCTTTTATAAAGAAGCTGCTCTTTGCGCAAATCCTGAATAACTCAGTTAACTCCTTAGCTAATCCGACATTACCATGGGTCCCTGCTCCCATAAATGGATTGGCAGTTCTGGACACACTGTTTAAGGTCACATTTCTCAACTTAGTTTCAAAACTCTAGGTACAGAAGCTCACCACACCATGGAAAATATCACTCACTTATTTGACCCTAAATATGCCAAACACTACCGCTTCTGGCATCTCATCTAAAACGGCCTACCATGTAACAGTTTATAATTTAGGGAACCATCTGCTTTCCAATATTTCTTTTAAAGAAAAAGAATAGGCAAAACATCAAAATTCATCAAACTAGCAGTGACCTATCGAGAGACAAACAGAAGTTTATTTTAAATCTTTTACTAATCATCACTATCCAGTCTCCTATAAAATTCTCATTGGCTTAAGTTTATTTGTCAGCTTCACTTGACTAGATAGAGGGAAGTGAAAATCAAACCAAACGAATAAAACAAAACAAGCCCTGGCCCTCTATTCAAAGTATAACCTGGAGTAAGAGACATGATGTCTGTGTTGTGTGACCTTGCTTTCAGAGGAGCGGTTCATTTCTTGTTCAGCAGCATAGTGATGGTTTCCATTCTTCTTCCCATCTTTTTTAGACTCCAGAGTAGACTGTCTTAATATTCTTCCTTTAAAGAGCATCTTTTTTTTTTTTTTTTTTTTTTTTTTTTTGGTTATAAGAAAGAGATGAGTGATAAATATTTGGAAGGCAGTCGTTAAGAACTGTCATTTGTAATACCAGTACTCGATGTGGCTGAGGTACTATCATCCACTGCTGGTGGCATTTTAAATGAGTAAGTTCCTTGGGAAAGCAGTATGCCAACATGGCATAAGAATCAAACACAACATTTACTCTAAAACTCCCCTCACTTCTAGGAACTCAGCCTGTGGAAATATTAATAAAATAGCACAAGCAGTAGTAACAGAAAAGATGATGATGAAAATGATGACCAAGTCACCAAATCCCAAGGTCTGTTCATGTTTCTCATCCTTGATCTCTATGATCGTGGTGACCACTGGCTCCTTCATAGCATGATATTTCTTTCAGTGTTCCTGACCCTAAAACTCTGTGTCATTTCTGCCTCTTACTATAATTTTGGAAGGCTCCTTATTCTTTCCACCCCCATAAAGACAGACACTCCACCAACCAGAGTTATTTCTTCTCCTCTCACCTCTATACTCCAACTGTAGGTGATCCCAAAGATGTCCACATATCTTCTACAAAAGATAACTCCAAAGTCCTCAACATTCTTGAACTCCAAGTCCTAACTTCTCACGTGCTTTTTGGACACATCCATAGTCACATCAAAGCCATTTCACCCTTCCTCATCTCATCCATCTTTCCTTCTGTATGGCAACAATCCTCGTTCAGACCTACTGTCCTTTTTATCAGATCAATGGTTCCCCCAAATATGTCCTCAAACCTTGAAAGCATCATAAAAATGCAGTGACCAGACCTCAACTCAGACCTATGCCTTGGGTATATGTGTTTCTAATAAGCTGCCAAGTAAACTCAATAGAAGCAACCAGATACAAGAGCCAGGAATCTCAGTATCTAAAAGACCATACTTGCCACCCAGATTCAGATCTCTTTTCCTATGGCCACCTTCACGTGCTTCTACACCCCACACTTCACCTCCACCTCCTCCATTTCCCTTCACATACAGTCTATACCCCACACTCC